GTTCACATATTTAGGGAGTACCAAACATTTTGAAAAACGGAGAAACCGCAGAACATTTGACAACAAATGCGAAAGTCTTCGAGATTTGGATAATGACACAACTTCGTGCCATAAACTCGTACGAAAAGTTATATAAACTACTTCTGAGAACTGATTGAAATTTACATTTGAATTCGAATCGGAAAGATTTATGTCAAAATATGTAAATACGAATGTCCGACTCAGAATTGTGTCTGGTAGCAAGAAAACACAAAGTTCATATATTTAATGTTTATATTTTAAAATTTAATTCAAGCGGTTTCTCTTTCTCGTACCAAATTACTTGGGTAATGCTATGTAAATGTACATTGTTGTCATATAATGCAAAATTTCAAAAAAGGTATGCCTTTGAGAAATATAATAATGTAATCTAATTAGCGGACAAATAACGGGAAAAAATACATTTTCTAAAAAAAAATTACAAAACCTAGAAATGAATATATTGGTCACTTCATATTCTTCGGTGAAGTGTAGAAATGGGCAGGTATGGAAGCAAGCAATTTTTCAGAACTTCTAATTTTGATTTTGGGCCTAAAATAGCAATTCATGCGACCTTTCGTCGAAAACTACCTATGCGTTTATTTTTCATTACATTGATACATATAATTCACAAATTTTGTTTCTGAATTGTCGATTTATTGGTGAAAACGCGTAAACTTCGTACCGTTTTCCGAGACATAACCATATTATGTCACTATCAAAAATGCGCTGATCTATTTTAAAAAAAAGATTTTGTTTTGCAAGAGAAATAATAAGTCAATTATTTTAATACGAAACCGAAAACTGTAAGTAACTAAAGCTGTTAGATATTTGCTAGTCTTAGATCCCGGTATGTATTATACCGCGTTTCTCCGAAAAAAAGGCCTAGACTGAAAATAAGACCCAATCTGAACTTTAAAAATGATATTATTATAAGCCTTCCTCTTAAAATAAGACCTACCGGTTTTACATATTCAAAAATTTCGTTATTCCCTAACTTGTAATTTTGTTTTTGATAAATAAAAATAAAAGACGTACCCCAAAATAAGCCCTAGTTCATTCATTTTCGAGGAAGCACGGTAATTACGAAGCGTTTCTCGAAGTCAAAATTAACACGAAAAACAAATGCAAGAAAAACAGAATATTTTTAATTTATAAGATGAGAGTTCGTATATGCTCTATTTTACTTTGGAATAAGGAAAATTGTAGTAATATTTTAACACCAAGCTAAAACAAAAAAAAAACACACACACTCTTGTAAAATACAGACTTAGATTCGAGATTATTTGAATTTATCCATATCTAAAAACATTCTTACTATTTCACAAACCAAGTTTTGTCAAAGAAATCGAAGTTTCGCCATTATTCAAATCTCGAAGACTTTTGCAGTTCAATGTGTTGTCAAATCTTCCGAGCGCTCCCCGTGTTTCCGCCGTTTGACCAAAGCCGTGACATTTCAGTGACGATAATATGTTTGTAATTGCATAATTACGATGATATTATTCTCATTCATTGTGAATTACAGAAATCGTGGCAATTTACTCTCAGTTGTTTCAATCATTCCCTACGAGATGATACAGCGAGCAAACAAAATCGTATGGAAAGTTTTTTCGAAATCCTGCCCACAAATCGCTTTTGTAAAACGTCATAATCGCATGCGTTCCAATATTTTTAAATTTTGCACCATTGTTTCACTCCACGTAAATGTAAAAGCTCATTTTCAGTCTGATTGACCTTTTGAACTATTTCCGGGTGTTCTGTGATTTCTTGCTCTAATCTGCGTCAAAGCATTGAACAACAAAATATTATTTTATGTTTCATCCATTTCAATAATTTGTTGCGGATACATCCGAGGGTCGTTGTTCGAATATACATTTTCAGTTGTCTGACTAGCCGTTCGTTGTTATGAGGTAGGATCATGGACCTGTCCACTTCCTCAGAAAATTAATAGATAGATTTATAAATTCGATTCATTTTAAATTAGCCTGAAGTGTCGCTTAAACTCGCGAATTGTTATATTGAAGTCAGAAGTTCATTTCTTCACAAAAATTAAATCTAGTATTTCAAACTCATGATGGAGCTTTCGATAATATCTTACCATTGCAATACATGAGACTGTAATGACGTTCGTTATATCTTCGCATACGTAAGTATGTCTTATTTGCTAGGACCGGAAAATACATCTAATTTTGGGCGGCATTATTCAAAAATGTTGCCAAATTATATTATATCATGTAAAGAGTCTCGTGGTGGCCCCTTTAATTTTAGGAATGAATGACACGTGGCTTAATTTTGTTTGCTATAGCCAGACAGAAGACATGACTTTCGTTTATGAATGACGTTTTGTAAAAGTGATCGATGAGACCAGTAAAGAAAGAAAAATAGCAATTCATAAAACTAACTATCAATTTGAGTTCAATTATTCTTATCACTTACAATATTTAACGGCGTGTCTCTTTTACTAAAAAAACACGTTTGAATATTGTAGTTTTTGTGGTTGTATTCATTAAAACGATGACATATTATATATAGCCTACAGTATTTGAAATTTTCTGGCTTTCAATAAAAAGTTTTTTATTAGTGTTTTGGTATTTTTGAACGGAGGTACATGCGCAAACCGACCGGCAATCACGCTGTGAGATTTCACCCTTCAAACATTTTAAAATTTGTACCCTTGTTTCGCTCCACGTGAATGTAAATTACATTTTTAGTCCAAATGCCCTTTCGGAATTTTTGCTATTGTTTGTGTCAAAGCATTGAACAATAAGTTATTATATCATGGTTCATCCATTTCAATATTTTGTTGCCGGTCCGCGAGGGATTAACAGTCGTTTACAAAGTATTATCAGAGACGTTGTTCCATTTCTTCACAAAAATTAAATCTAGTATTTCATCTCATGATGGGAACTTAGGAATAATACCTTTCCAAGACAATACATAAAACAGTTATGACGTTTGTTAAAGCTTTGTATACGTAAATATGTCTCAATTGCAAGGACCGGAAAATATATCTAATTTCATGCGGCATACTCAAAAATGTTGCCAAATTATATTATTGTCTCAAATCATGTGACGAGCCTCGTGATGGCCCATATTATTTTAGGAGTGAATAACACGTAGCTGTATCTCATTTGCTATTGCCAGACAGGAAACATAACTTCAGTTCATGACTTTAGCTTTTAGAAGTGATCGATATGACCAATAAATCAAAAACTATCAATTTATAAAACTGAATATCAAGTTGAGTTCATTTTTTCCTATCATTTTCAACATTTAACGGCATACTTCTTTCACCTAAAAAAACGCCTGAAGATTGAAGTTTTATGGTTGTACTTGCGATTGACATATTAAATATACCGTGTTTCCCCTCAATAATACAGTGTCTTATTTCAATTTTCTTTCGAAAATTAACACTAGGACTTATTTTCGAGGGATGTCTTATATTTTCATTTATCAAAAACAAAATCACAAAGTAGAGAATTATAATTTTTATTCAAAATGACGGCAAAACATAGATCATTAATCATCTAAAACCTTTAGAAGAGATTTCTTGCTACCGACTAGGTAAAGCATTATACTTAATAAATTTTACTACGATCTACCTTTATATTTGGCCATCTGAAATTGTGAATCCTGTCTATACCAAACTAATTTTTTACTTGTTATTATGTTATTTTATTCTGGTTGATGAAATAATAATCTTTCTCTTATGTCCAAATCGACTGGATATTACGCCGGGAATATTTTTATTTACTAAACAAGTTGTGTCATATTAAGTTGGATTATAGAGTTCATATTCTTTACAAACGTGCTATTACATCACCTGATCTTTCCGAAATGCTTCGTCATGTTTATGTCTCGTGCAAGTCTTGTGATTGCAGATCAATAGATTGCTGCGCGAGATCTCGTGTTATTGGAATGTGAAGTTGTTTGTGAAGATTGTGAGACGTGGCTTTTGTGCTTTAGCTAGTATAAAGGTTGTAGCAAATCCCAGCAAAGACAGTGGTAAATGGACACGGAAGGGAAATTGATTTGTACAGTACAGAAAACTCAAATTTCTGACCTCTGAGATGTGAATACTGCAGTCCTGACATACCGGAAATGGCGGCAGCTGTTTGCTATAAACAAGAAGAATGCTACCAATCAGAAACTCTGCTTAGTAGGCTTATCAGGGCAACAGGGTGTGAATGGTAGAAAGAAGCAGCATAACTAACAGTACCATATAGCAGTTTATTTTGAAAACTCCATAACGAACACAAATTTAAAATGGAGAATTCTGGAGAGCAAGCAAAACCTATAAAGAAGTTTAAAACATGATAAATATCATGCGCCTGCACACCAGCACAGCACACACACACACAAACTCAATTAAATGAGGCGTGGGCCAGAATTGAACAAATAAAATACGGGATAGTATTAAAATGTCAGGCAGTTGTACTTTTAACACATTGATACTGACCAATACAATCTCATACAAAGATAATGTGGGGAGTGCAATGTAATAAAGTCACGACCATAGACATGAAGGTTCTGGGAGATTTTCATATATTAGTACAGTAGTAGGTCATACTACAGTATTATGGCAGTCATATTTCATAGTAGCCTATGCTGCTGCTTTTGTATTTCATTTAATGTTAAGTATGAGTAACTAGACCTATTGTATACTTTCAGGTAGCCTATATATACTTTTGTAAGGCTTATTTGACCATGGGAAATGTTGTTGTTAGGTGTGTAATCCTATAGCTATAACATGGTATCACTGTATCAACTGTACGAATGTTCCATCATTTTATCCATTGCAGCATTGTTATAGAGAGATGACTTGACAAGTTGTTAAACATGTAGAACTGTAGGACTGTAGGATATATACGAAATGATATATTCCTTTTAGGCCTATAAAAATGTTTCATAGATCTGTGCATAATTTATTGTCTCATTTACAGAAATATTATTTATCAAAGTATTAAACTTGAATAACAATAATGTCGTTCTGTATACCTCGGGCATCTGGACCTTCTGCTGTGGCTTGTGTCGATATTTTAGACAAAACTGGCCTTGAAAGCACATTTTTCCGCATTTTCTATCCGACTGAAAAATTTGAACCCGACAAAAAAATATGCCCTCCTTGGATGAACGAAACCTATTTGAATGGATTTGCTGGACTTCTTGGTGGTGGCTGTGCTTCAAAAATTATGAAATGCTTCCTAAAATCCAAACTTGTTCCTGTGCGTTGGAATGGACCACTCGAAATGCCAATGAACACCTCACAATTGCCAGTAGTTGTTGTATCTCATGGACTCGGGCTGTCAAAAAATGCACATACTTTTCTTTCGAGTGAAATTGCATCTCGTGGATTTTTTGTCGCGGCAGTCGATCATAAAGACAAATCAGCTTCAGCATCGCTTTACCTTGAAAAAGAATCCGACGGTGAATATAAAGAAAAGTCTGTGGAATTTCAGCACATTAAGATGCAAACGCCTGAAGAGCAGGAACTGAGATATCAGCAAATCACTCAGAGAGTTGATGATATCTCGAAACTTATCGATTGCGTGGAACAACTAAACGATGGTACGTTAAACAACGTCCTGTCCGAAGATGTCGATTTGTCTGTTTTCAAAGATAAACTTGATGTAAAGAAATGCGCAATCATTGGTCATTCTTTTGGAGGAGGAACCACAATTGCAGCATTAGAGAAAGAAAGTCGAATCAAAGTGTCAGTGGCAATGGACGCTTGGTTATATCCCCTGGAACAAAAGTACTACAAGATACCTATAAACAAACCACTGCTTTATATCAATGCAGATGGTTACATCGACAAAAAAGAAGTTTTACGAATGCGAAGACTCGATGCTGATGTCACAGGCATTGATGCGGAAAGGAAAATGGTCACGCTTCGTGGAGCGGTTCACATGACCTACACCGATATGGGCTTTTTCCCTCGAATATCCTGCATTGCCAAAATGATCGGGATGAGAGGCCCAACCGACCCTGAAATCACAAATGAAATGAACTTGAAGTTACTTCTTGGTTTCATCGGGAGACATTTGGATCTTCCATGTGCCGAAGAAGTTGAAACAATTGTTTCAGAAAATTCAGATTTATGCATGATGGGAACAAATGTTGAAGTTGAAGATCAAGAAATCAAAGAAGCGAAGTTTTCATCCCCTGACATCGGCTCTGTGGCAGAAAAAGAACTAAATGTCAAGTTATAAGATGGTGATTTCATTAATCTCAGAAGTTTTTTTCAATACTCCAAAATAGTGGTTCCCAACCTTTTAGGGCTCGTGGCCCCTCTGTGAAGAATTTTCTCACTCTTGGGCATGGCCCCCCTGTTTATCATTCTACTGGGATTTATATTGTTATTTTGATTTTTGGATTCCAATCCCTTTATGTTCAAACAATTCATGCTCAACAAAGTGAAAAGACCCCATGAGGAAAGATTGGAGTTATTTTATACTAAAGAGAGAAGTAAAAACAGTTTTGCATTGTGGCCCTCCAACTGCTCTGTGGCCTCCAGTTGGGAACAACTGCTCTTAAACTTAAGTATCAATTGGACTTCTTTAAAATTAGTTATGACAGAGTATTTTGTAGGCTATACGATTTTTGAGCGAAATACGGTATATTAACCATATATTTAAAATAAGAGCAGCTGGTTCCACACAGCAGTATAAACAATTATGAAAGGTGGTTGTAGAAGACAGTTTCTTATATTAATTGTATATATCACAATTTAAATATGTGGTTCAAAAAATCCAAAATCTGACTCTGATTTATCAACACCTCAGGGAAAAGCATAACTACCTAGTTTTACTTAGTACGCACATGTACATATTAAAATTTGATTATTACTTTTCCATTATGTACCGGTAATACCAAATTTTTACTTTCAATTTTTCTTCTCTCTATTACCTTTTACTTTTCATTGAATCTATTTTACTCTGTGAAGATTGAAGGAATTAACTTATTGAACTCAGTTATGTTTTAATTGTCAAATTTGACCAATCCATGTATCTGAAATAACTGATTAAATATTCCCATACCCCACTTGGACTAGAAAAGAGACAAAAGTCAACCCCACTTGGACTAGAAAAGAGACAAAAGTCAATGGTTCACCATATGATTAAGTAGACTCATCAACTTTCCTATTCTATGTGGTACACATTATGATTATTCTGCAAAGCAAGTTAACGATTTATTATTTTTGCTAGGTTCCTAGATCCTTCAAACTACTTGATTAACCCCTGAACCCCATACAGGATTAATTTTTACAAATTATTTTTTTTTTTCCATATTATTGTGTAATTTTTTATTTGAATTTGGTATTAACCTCAACTTGATTATACTTGCCATTTTACAAACATGTTTCTTATTATGGTTTATTCTTGCCTACACTGGCCTTTTGATCTTTGTAACAAAAGATTAAAAAAATCAAGATGGTGACATTATATTGTACCAGGCAATGGAGAAATCTTACCAATCTTTGTGCATTTCTCGGGTTTCAGAATGATGCTTCGTCGCCTAAATGCACTTTAACGATAAAATAATAATTTTTTTCAACAATTTTACATGAAGCAGTATATTATATGCACTTCTTATTATTGAAAACTGTTGTCTTGAAATACTTAGCTTTTTTTTGCATTTGGATTTTTATTACTTTTCCATCATCATTTACAATGTAAATAAAAGTAACAAGAACGTTATAAAACATTGCCGGTGTCACTGCATTTGTATAGTTTAAGGTTTTGGCAGAAAAGATTTTTAGTTTTCGTTGTCAAAATGGTGTTCTGAAAATATATCCGACCCTGCTATATCCGACCATGCAAGGTAATATTTAAAATTGCTCCGCATAATAAGGCACGACTTCTGTTATGGGGGTAAATGCCCTGTTCCTTGTGTGTGGCGATGTCACATTTTTGGTGCAGTTACGTCACGTTCTGTTTGTTATGATTTATGGACATAAATCTCAACTGTAGGGATTTACAAGCGAGCAAGTTGGTGCAAGGCAGTATGTTCCCCATAAGCTTTTTTTTCATTTTAATTGAATAAGCTCATTCATAGTCATAAGTCCAAGTACATGCTTCCGAAAACAAAACAATATACGGTAACTAATCCCATACCCGACTTGGAATGGTAACCGGACGAGAGGCCGTGGTTCGCCATATGGATAAGCCGTCTTATCGGATTTCCTCTCCCCTGGGATAAATATGTAAATCCTATCCTATAGTAACTCGGGCCTCCCTTGCGCAAGGTTGTGTAAACGGTATTCATAAAAACCAAATATTTACGTGTATTGATAACGTGCAAATTTTCAGCCACGAGTATGGACGTCAGCGCCCGTATATGCCAGCTCATTCGAGATGCTCGACGAGATATATTATAATTACGCCACGCCCAATCTTATTAATTGGAGTGCATGCCAATTTTAAACAAATGAACATTGTGACTTAATGAACGCGGCCGATATCGCATGTGGCTATGTCTTGGTGAAATAAGTACTTGCGGCTAACTTAAGTTTGCGTCTGCAGTCCGTAATAACAACCCACAAAAATGGAGGAAACCATTTTGAATTGCACAATACAAGGTTCGCGAGTAAACACAATAGGCTTCTTATTTACCGCCGTTAGGCTTGCACGTAATTCACAAAAATCAATTCCGTAATTACGGCAAAATCAATTACGTAATGACCCCGTAATTGCGATATTTTTCCACGCATTTAAACCTATCGTAACATCCCATTGAATCCACTTTTTTTCCGAATGGGACATTGAAGTTGGGTTTTCCTATTCTTGGCAGTAATACACGCCGGCGGCAGATGTTAAAGACAACTATCAAGGAGTGAATTCAAATTAATTTTATTCTGATTTTTATCTTTTGTGTTAGCTTTGGTTTTTCTTTATCACCTTCGCAAATTAACCGTCCCATTTTTATGCGATCAATTTTATTTTATTATTACCGACACTGGTATACGGATATTTATGGAAACGATAGTTTTTTAAAACCACCTTAGTACTGAATAAAAATTACGGGTTTCTAATTTATTAACCAACGACGAGCGTATTCTCTCATTTGATTACACTTGCGATTTCCTCGCGACGAAGACTTGTTTTTGCAGCGTTTTCTGCATTATCCGACATTACTGCCTTGTTAGCATTTTTATAATAATAATCATTGATGTCGACTTATTGACGATATTCCGATTACCATGCTTCATTTTACATTCAATCATTTCGCGGACTGAATGTTTATAACATTATGTGCGATAAATTTAGATCAAATATTATTTATTTGCGTTTAATTTGAATACCGAACTTATATGACATGCCCTCTCCGAAAATGCAACGTTATATCGCAAAACAATGCATTTTGTGACATTTATTTTACACTCACAACATTTATTTGCTAACTCAAGTCGGCGATCCGGACTGATATATAACGATAAAACCGTTAACAGAACATCAAGATTTTGTAATAGAAAATGGATCTCGCACAGAATAAACACACAGGCTCATATTTGATTATATATGATAGCAGTTAAGTTTTCAACGGTCCGCGAGGAATCCGTCGTTTTGGTTCATTACGCAATCTCTCTTTTGTCGTCATATTGCTATTTGATAAGCGTGACATTAATTATCACGGCGAGGTAATGGCGCGAGTGATCAATCGCTCTTTTCGCTTATTTGGTTCCAATTCGTCGCGAAAGCTCTTCGTTAAATTTCACAAGATCGTCGTGTTGAAAGGTTTTGGATATCTGAAATGAAACAGCCAAAAACAATATGATATTCCATGTTCATATATCAAATGTTGATATTAACAATAAAGAATGGTTAAGCATTGCTAATCCACACTTGGTGGGGAATTCCCACTATTTAAACGCGTGACTATAAAATAGAATAAAATAGAAACGGAACATATATACCATAAGTCAATGGTCGGCAACCACCGGGCCGCGGCCCATCACCGGTCCGCAGAAAGATTACTACCGGTCCGCAGAAAGGTGACCTAAAAACAGACAAGGCCCTGATAACATATATACAATCGAATATCTACAAACCCCACGACTGAAAGCTGGTGTTCCGTGTTGTTGTCTTCAAATTCTTTTTTATATTTTGGCATATTTTATGTCACAGTTTTCAAGGAGATTTTGTTTCTTGTGATAAATATCTGCACGAAGTTGAAACAATAACTAAACAGCTAAATGTAAACGGAAACGTAACAATTTAAATTTAATTATCGCTCAAACCCCATTTTTAATCATGTTCGGGAACATTGACTCGTTTTCGTAATGTAAATTATAAAAGTTGCTTAAAGCTGGGAAAATTTAAAACCCGACTCGTAGAATACCCTTAAAGAAGCAATAAATTCATTCAATAGTAGAAGGACAAGTAGGATTTTTGACGCCAGAAAGACGACCGACCATTGAAGGAGAACTACGTGTTTGCCTTTCCTAAATTCAGACCAAGATAAACGATGCGTGCTCATTTAAACAAGTTCATATACCATATTAAAATTGCATTGATATTAACGGCTTCGAACAGCCAGTTTTAAATATTTGGTTTAATCTCATTGGTACTTCAGTGTACTTTTGTTCTCTGGAGTAATGAATTTGTTACGTCTTTTTACAACTTGAGTCATTGGTCTAATTGTAATTTCATTCCTACGCAAAACCTGACAGTGATTATTGCTTAATTTGATAGTTTCCACGAAATTTAGAAATTTTCATTTGTTGTTCCGCGAAAAATTCATAATTTAAAAAGTGTTCCGCGGTTCGAAAAAGATGGTAAATATCGATGTTTCATACAATCTCCGGATTGGAAACAATAGCACAAATGCCGATCTCGCAATAAATATCATCACCTTCGTTTTTGTGTATATTGTCAGCATAAATTTTCTAACGCGTTTGAATTCACTACATAAGCATAGTTCGTTTATATAAAGGTGGTCCATCAAAATTTTGACCAGGCTAAACCGGACCGTCACTTAAAAAAGGTTGCCGACCACTGCCATAAGTAACGGAAAACTGGAACAAGTAAATAATAAATAAAAGTAAAATGGATACAAATGTTTAATAGACCATGTTTGATAGATTGATCTCCTGCGTTCATTAGTCATTTCACCCGAAGAAGTTGAAACCGGGCGTGTTAGCGTCCATCGGTCTTAACACAATTCTTCCCCCTATCTACGGTTATTATGTACATTGGCCATGGCCATGCTA